GAATTTGCTCTGTAAATCTTCACCCAAATCACAATAAATTAAATAAATAAATAAATAAAGCATTTACACTTAAAAAAAAAAAAAGAAGAAGAAGAAAGAATGACAAGACTTCATCTCTTGTACTTTGGCCGTGTGATCAGGGACCAGTCCCTGGAAAAAGATTAAAAAAAAAACAAAAAAAGTCATGGCTAACTACACAGTCTTCCCAAGAGAAAGCTGGGAAGGCAGAGCATGTGCTTCATCTTTAACCAGGACACTACGCACTGAGCTTCTATATTTTGGAATTCCTGTGTAAATCTTTAAACTTATTTCTCCCATAGCTCTTTGAGCAATTTGTTGCTTTCTTAAATAAAAATGGATAAGATTTTTAGTAAAGCAAGAATTGTTCAGAACATGGTTTCTTGAGTCAGACTGTCCTAAGTTTGAATCCTGAATCAACCCATTACCATATTTTTTAGCCCATTACCATTTTTAAAAATATTTTTTTTGTATTCTAGGTGAAAGTTGACACAGCAAATTGAATTCATGTTCAACAATGCATACATAGACTGTTCCTTGACATTGGTTACAATCCCCACAATGTATCAGCACTCTCACCATTTCCACTCCACCTGCCCTTCCCATCCAATTTCCCTGCCTCTCCTTACCTTCTCATCTTTGCTTTTGAGTAAATGTTAAAACTTATTACCATTTGATTAACTTTGAACAGGTCATCTAACCTCACTAAATTCAGTCTTCTTATCTGTAAATTAGAGATAATAACAGCTACTAATCCTATAGGGTGTTGTGAATTTTAGGTAAAGCAATGCATATGGTGTCCTTAGCACTATGTTTATACAGAGTCATTGCTGAGTTGTTGTTATGAGCTGTCATTGGGTCCCTCCAGCTCATGGTGACTCCATGCACAACAGAACGACATGTAGCTCAGTTCTGCACAGTCAGATCATTGTGACCATAAGGTTTTCATTCAGAAGGAGATTGGCAGGCCATTCTTCCTAGTCTGTCTTAATCTGGAAGTTCTGCTGAAACCATTCAGCTTCACAGCAACACATAAGCCTCCACTGGCAGATGAGTGGTGGCTGAGAATGAGGTTCATGGGAAAACGAAACTTGGCTTCCTAATTGGGAGGCAAGGATTCTACCACTGAACCACCACTGCCCCCTGTAACTGAGTAACTGTTTACTATTACTATTATTTGAAAAAATGTTTTGATTTATAAATTGCATTGCTTCTAAGGTGACAGTAGAGGGAGCACAGTCATTGGGAACTGGGCTTATGAAAACTCCAAGATGCGTAGAAAACCCTTTGTACAAGACTCCCTGTTCTGACAGAGCATGAGAGACCTGATGCCACAGATGAACAGATAAAACCCACAGCCAACTGCCTTGTCCCAATAATCCTTTCTCTACAACTCGTTTGGTACTAGCATATGCTACTGCAGAACTTAGTGTATCTTTTTTATGTATATGCTCTGACCAGCATCTAACTCCAACTCACATTACTCCAACTCCTCAGGACACTTAAGAAAGGAAGTTTGGAGGAAAAACATAAGGGGCTCTCATACAAATGAAAACCAACAAATGATGATTCTCTTTGTACAAGAACTGGGAGGTGGAGCTGGCTTACAACCCATGGCAGCAAGAGTGATATGTCCTTCTTTCTACCTCCAAAATAAACATTCTATTTGGTATAGTGGAAAAAATGTACAGTCAGAAAAACTGAGTCCAACCTGCCTGTGTCTCTTTTTCTTAATTTTGTCCATCTGTTCTACAATGGAGGAGGGAAAGAAGAAGGTTAACCGAGTGATGTCCAACGTTTCTTACAGCTTGATTATTGTAATTCTAATAGTAGTAGCTATTATTTATTATCTCATTCCTTGTATTATCTTCTTCAGTCTTCTCAGTGATTTCAGGTGGGATACATCTCAATTTGTACAGAGAGGGAGTTTGGAGCTGGGAGATGTTTGATAGCTTATCTAACTTTGTACAGCTAGTTAAGTGGCAAGAGCTCTGGTAGCATAGTGCCTAAGGCACTTGACTGCTAACCAGAAGGCTGGCGGTTCAAACCCACCAGCCACTCCTCGGAAGGAAGATGGGGCAATCTACTTCCATAGTGATACTGCCTCGGCAACCCAAGGAGGGGTGGCAATGAGTCGGGGCCAACTCAATGGCACATAACAACAACAACAACAGTTAAGTGGCAGAATCAGGGCTAGAATTCACATTTCTGCAACTTTACATTTTGGAATTTTCTTCTTGGATAAAGTAACATAAAATTAAAGATAAGGCTTATAACTAGGGTAATTAGAGGGAGATGGGAGTCTGTAGAAGACTTTGAGTTCAGGGAACTTTATGGAAATGCTAACTTTTGGTGTTTGATTTTGTTTTTGCTTTGAAATTTCTTTTGGCTCCGAGGTACTGGTAAAGCCAGGGCCAAGGTAGGGCCAAGAAATTGGGAACTTGAATATTTAGAATTGATTCTAAGAAAGAGAAGCAAAGTAGACATAAAGGTGCCCTTTCATAAATGTCTAGCTCAGATCATGAAAGTAGGAAGGGAGATAGGGATTTAAGTCAGATGGTTTAACAAAACAAAAAAAGTGTTCATTTGGGTAGAGATTTCCTTGTGCTATATATGTCTCTGGTAGCATAGTGGCTAAAGGCACTTGACTGCTAACCAGGAGCCTGGTGGTTCAAACCCACCAGCCACTCCTCGGAAGCAAGATGGGGCAATCTACTTCCATAGTGATACTGCCTCGGAAACCCAAGGAGGGGTCGCTATGCATCAGGTCTGACTCGACGGCACATAACAACAACAACAACATGTATCTCTGGGTGAACTGATTATGGTGGATAAAACAGAGGTTCTCAAAGTAATGTCTGTGGATCCCTGGAGGTGGTCTTCAAGATCTTTTCAGGGGTCTGTGAGGTCAAAACTATTTTTATAATAGCATAATACTATTTTGCCTTTTCACTCTGTGCACTGATGGTGTTGAAGTAAAGGTGAGTAAATCTGTTAGTGCCTTAGCATAAAGCAGGACCTTGGCACCAAATGATACTAGTAGTTATTGTATTCCTCACCACCAGTTTGACTTATGAGTCCTCTGGGTGAAGCAGTAAAAAATACTGATTTTATTAAATCTCAGACCTTGAGAACACATCTTTTTAATATTCAATGTGATGAGTACTTCTATAAAGTTTAAAATTACTTATGCGGCTTGTGTTTTATTTTTGTCAAACAACACTGTTTTAGGTAAAAAGTGTGATGAGAATTCAGAGCAGGGTATGGCTGCTATGGACTTGAGTCCTTAGAGAAGGATGTTGTTATTGTTGTTGTTGTTATGTGCCATCGAGTCAAACCCGACTCATAGCAACCCCTCCTTGGGTTTCTGAGGCAGTATCACTACAGAAGTAGGATTGCCCAAACTTCCTTCTGAGGAGTGGCTGGTGGGTTAGGATTTCAATAATGGCGAAGTTGAAGGAAGGAAATTTCAGTTGAAAGAAGCATCAATACTGAAATATGAGAGGCTAGTCCAGGAACTAGTGTAGACTAATATGAGTCTAATCATGGGATCCTGTAGGAGAGAAAAGCTTCCTGGATAGGTTGAGACCAAATCGTGAAGAGCTTTCAGCACCAAGAATTTAGAGTTTTTCTTATGGGCCTTGATGACCCCTTCCCTAGGAGAAAATGAAATGCCCAGTAGCTGATGGAACAACCTGAATTAGGCACTTTCTTCTCATGGGAACAGAGCAGCACATGCTCCCAGAAGTTCTGCCCAATGGGCAAGCAGCCAAGATCAGGCCTACCTGACTGGTGAATTTAGAATGAGGTATAGAGAGTGAGAGTCTGTAGTTGATTGACTTATTTTAGGGGGGAGAGGTGAAATAAATTCAAGTGGATCAAAGTAATGCCACCTGGAAGAGGAGGAGAATCCAGAAAGTGATGTGATGGCTGGGTAGAGGCCATTCGTGAAGCCTTGTACATTTTTCTACACATGAGCCTAATCCTATCATTTCTTCAGTCTGTCTTTCAGTTTGCTTATCTTCCTTTATTTTTGCATTTACTTTCCTGGACATTTATAGAACTCTATGTATCAGAAGGTAATCATCTAGCTCCGAGGAAATGAGATGAAAAGACCATGGAGGTAGGAGTTTAAATACCTGGATTTCTATCCAGACTCAGCAACTAACTCATTGAGTAACTTTGGTCTCATCTCTGGGACTCAGTCTTTTTAGATGTGACAGCAGAGTTAGAGTCAGATGAGATTAAGGCACCCTTCAGTTCTGTGATTCTAGAACAGGCCCATGTAACAAAGGGCACTATAGCATCCAGGATGCTGGGCCAGTAACCTATGTATCGGTGGCCTGTGTAGGAATTGGATCAACCCTTTGGATAAGGTTGTCCTTTGAGTAAGCAGGTGAACATCACAGACCTAGAGAAGCTGAAATTGGAGCGCAGTGAGGTCTGTACGTTTGGTGTTTTCATGCTGGCTACTCAGCCTTCCATCGCAGGGTGAGTCCAGTGATGCCAGGAAGATAGGAAGCTGAAGAATTTGGCTCCAGGCAAGTATGTTTTCAAGGGCTCTCTGGGGAAAGAGGAGAGAAAATGACTGTAAACTCCCTCCAAAATACCATCCCTCTTGGCACCGTGGGCTACCTGAAGTTACAAGAGTGGCTGGTGGGGTTCACAGGGGCCAGGCAACCTGACTGTGCTTTTTCATATGTTTGAAAGAGAGAGTGGGTGGGAACCGAACCAAGTAAAGTCCCAGAGACTCAAATACTGACGCACAGGAAAGCCTCAAGTAGGAGGAGAAATGCAAATCCCCTACTGATGATGACATCAGCAGCTTTGTCCTGGGGAGTGTGAGAGGCAATACTGACTTTGGACTTGAGCACCTGCCTGGGACCTGGGGTGAGAGAGGGCCAGGTAAGAGGGGCAGACCACACCTTTGCATGCTTCTTTGGAGGAGAACAGGCCAGGAAATGCTTCTGTGGGATGCTGCTGAAGCTTCAGTTTTCACTTCCCGTTTTGATAGTTGCTCCATTTTAACCTATCTGAGGAGGGAGAATTCTAAAGAAAATTATCTCACCCAACTCCAAAGTGTGACTATGTGCTTACTCTTTGTTAAAAGGGTGCCAGAAAGCCCCTAGCAGGCCTCCCAGCAGCAGCTCCCAGGCACTCTTTCCTGAAGGCACTGGAACCCCAGGTGCCTGTGTGATCTCAGAACTGTAGGGTGGGTGGGGGAGTTGTGGCTGATGCAGAGGTGTGTCCCCAAGAAGTGCAGAAAGTGAGCCCCTCTTCACTTTCTTAGCCGGCTTCTCTAGATCTATGATGTCTGATGTCTGATTGCATTCCTGGATTTCAGAACAAAGGCCGTAGCTAGGGTAGCCAGAGATTACGGCTTTGATGAGAGCAAGTGATACTTTAGGGCAGATCATCTTTACGATCTATGAGTCACAGAGCCAACATGGCACCATAGCTCCCAGAATTTGGGGATCCTCTATGGCCAGGCACTTAAAAGGAACAAACAGTCTCTCAGTTTTCAGAAGGAATATTCCATAGTTTACTTGCAATAGACGAATTAGCGCTTAGAAAGTGAAAGGAAAAAAAAAAAAAAAACTCTGAAGGATCTCTGAAGGGAATTATAGAAGCTGCAACAGAGAAAAATGTGTTAGGACTGCTTACCTTCTCTTTCTCTTTTTCAGCCTTGAGTTCATCTTCCTGGAAGGTTCACTTGGTCTTAGAGTGATCTAATTTTAGGATAGGCTCAGTCCAGTTAATTCTTAATTAGAAATGAGATTTCCATCCAAATTGCAGCAACCCTTTAACAATAGTTACAACTAAAATTGTACTATTTTCAGCTGTGTTCCGTGTTGTCCTCAACTAGAATAAACTCGAGATGAAGTAGGACAGTAGCATGAGAACAAATGTTCCAATTGTATGTGTGTAATATACATAGCATGGTGCCTAAGGCACTGCTAACCAGAAGGCTGGCGATTCAAACCCACCAGCCACTCCTCAGAAGGAAGGTTGGGCAATCCTACTTCCGTAGTGATACTGCCTCGGAAACCCAAGAAGGGGTCACTATGAGTCGGGGCCGACTCAACGGCACATAACAACAACAACAACAACAAAATATGCACCCAGCATCTGGAAAGACAACTGGGTCTGGCCTTAGGGGACCTCGGGGGGATCCTTAGGAGCTGTCTTATCTTTCACCTATTTGATCCTCAGGTTTTTTCCCCTTCATTTTCAACGTTGAAGTAATATTATCCTTCTATCCTAGGGTAGTGCCTAAAGCACTTGACTGCTAACCAGACGCCTGGCGGTTCAAACCCACCGGCGGTTCAAACCCACCGGCGGTTCAAACCCACTCCTCAGAAGGAAGATGGTGCAATCTACTTCCATAGTGATACCGCCTCGGAAACCAAGGAGGGGTCGCTATGAGTCGGGTCTGACTCGACAGCACATAGCAATAACAACAGCAATCTAATTCATAGCATTACTAGGAGAACCATTCTTTTTTTTTTAATTTATTTATTTAATAGGCACTGAGCACTTACAATTAACTGTAATGTGTGAAGTTCTTTACAAAATATAAAATATGAAGTGAGTACAGATGGAAGCATGTCTTTTATTTGCTTTCTCTTTAGCAAAACACTGGCAACAATTTTCTTGTACAGATTTTAGATCAATTACTGGGAGCTTAAGAAAAAAGGTACTAAACACAGTTCTGTTTGAAATCTGAAGAATGTGTATGTGAATTATACAACATTTCTTATCATGATGTTCTTTAGGCAAAAGGAAACCTTAAGCTACTACAAGAGGTTAATGATGTTAATCATGTAAGAGGGTTTTTTTCTTTGACCTAGAATTGCTGACAAAATAATAAAAAATTTTACTTTGGGAAAAGTGAAATACTGTAATTTAAATGTCATATTAATTTCCCTGAGTTAGGAAATACGTCTAAAGTTTCTAAAGGGGCCAGATGGGGTTATGTGGGGGAAACACATACTTTTGTTTTATGCCAGGCTGCGTAATGTGTATCAAGTGTGGTTTCTTCCTCCTTAAAGTAACCTGAGGGTTTAACCACTGTCACATACACTTCAGAGACAAAGTAAAAGTTGAATTTAAAACCTTTACCCAACCATAGTGGATCATGATAGAGACAAATGAACATATGTATTGCTTCAGAAATATATTGAACTGAAAGAATTAGAGCCCATGAAAGTGCATATGTAAAATTTTTTATGGCCCTAAGGCAGAATTAGATCAGAAGTCTAGAATATAAAACTGACTCTAGAAGCCATACAATTCTGAAATACGAAAAAAAAAAAAAAAAAAGATTGGGCAGTTTCATCAAAAAGAAGCTTTCATTGGGTGTCTGGCACACTTACAGCCTTAAGAGAATCCTCAAATCAGCCAAACCAAACTCACTGCCATAGAGTCAATTACAACTCATAGTGACCTCCATTGAATTTCCAAGGCTGTAAATCTTTATGGAAGCAGATTGCTTCATCTTCCTTCCACGGCAGCTGGGGGTTTGAGCACTAAGCTTTGGGTTAGCTGCCAAATGCCTTAACAACTATACTACCAGAGCTCATTTAAGAGGGTCCTAAGAGGTTTAACAAATATTGAGTATATTATTTGCTTTTATATCGCTTTCAGTCTAATAGTGTAGAGGGGGCAGAGGATAAGGAAGAAGTTTGTTGAGGATCAATATCTGTGTAGGCAGATGAGGATCGGGAATGATTTTGGGGGGGTCAAAGCTTCCTGGGGAAGGCAGAACAGGAGTCATTGTTAGAGCAGGGAAGGATGTGGTTTGGGGGCAGAAAAATAAGGCTGTTTCTTTGCATTAGGAATGACTAAGCTCATAGGAATTGCTATATGTGTGCATTGAAAGCATTTTTTTTTTTCTTTTCTGTCTTCAACTGAGTGACTATAAAATATTTTTTCTCTAGTTATTGAACTAGTGGGCAACATTGCCTTTGTTTGAATTTTAAGGAAAGGAGAAAGTATATATTACAGCCATTAATTAATATTATTTTAAAACTCTAATTTTACCCTTTCTTTCATAGCATGTCTCAGTGGAATCAAGTTCAACAGTTAGAAATCAAGTTTTTGGAGCAAGTGGATCAATTCTATGATGACAACTTTCCTATGGAAATTCGACATCTACTGGCACAGTGGATTGAAAATCAAGACTGGTAGGAACAAGCATTGCATTTTTCCCTAGAGGGGACTGCAAAAATGCTTTATGCTCTATTCATATGGGTTTCTTCTGTGGTCTACTTGTGACTCAGGAGATGCGTTCTTTTCAAGTAAAGAACTTCTTTAAGGATTTGGAAAGCCTTCTCAAAGGACAAGAAGCATTGTCCTTTATGGTTTCATCCATTATAGATGAAAACTGAATGGTTTTAGTGCTTTGTTTTTCTGTAAACCAAATCCTAATAATTTTCTGTGTATCAGTAAGCCAAGAAGTAAATTTGATTATGGATATATTATGCTAGATTAGAAAGATAGCTAGATAGCTAGGTACGTAGAAAGAAAGGAAAAAGAAAGATGATAGATCAATCTTGTGTTGTCAATCATATAATAAATAATCAATTAATTGGTACATTCTTCACTCCATATACCATCCAAATTGAAACATCTTGGTGGTCCGAATTTCAAGGCTAAGTAGTGGAATTCCAACAAAAAGTTGTTACTGAGCTATCCTGTATTTGGAAAACACAATCTTCACCCACATTTTAGGGACAATGTGTTTTCATAATGCATATTTTTTTTCTTGTTACAATAATTTCTTCTATTTAAAAGAAAGAAAAAATTATGGAAAACAGTTTTTAAATGGTTAATACATTTTTTAAATGTTTTGATTTGTTAAATGCTTCTCCATTACTTGTATTTTTATATATTTTCTCTGATGCTGCTATAATCAGTTATTTTCATATATAATATAAATATGGTCTGCATGAGAACAATCTAATGTTTGACTATAAAGTATTAACTGTTTGGATGAACATGTTAAAAGTAGTCAATGGATTAGACATTTTGAAGTATCTGGTAAATTAGAGTCGTGATGTCACAACTTGATTCTCTCACATTTTTCAAAGAGAATTTATGAGGGCTCTTAAATAATAGGAAGAAAATTCCTAAAATATATTAAAACCTTCTCCATCCCTTTCTCCCTTCCTCCCCCTTCCTTCTAATTGCTCTCTAGACCTCTCATTCCCTCCCTTTCCCTCCCCTCCACCCTTGGGACCTCCTTCAGCACCCTCCCCCCTTCCCTTACTTCCTTCCTTCTCAGGCACAGTTAAGAAATGGTCTCAGTAATTGAAAAAAGCACTGTTCCAGTTTTTTTTAAAAATTATGGAATAACATAACAAAAAGCTCTTAGAGATGCTTCCCATTTTTAGATTGATGAAATCTAGTGCCGGTTCCTTTGTTTTTAAAACATTAATTATATCAATTCTCTTCCATAGATTCAATGTAAATATACTTTTTTTTTTCTAAACATGACTTACAAACATTCTTTGTACCTGTCTTCACCTTGTATAATTTAATGATTCTCACTATAGAATAGATTTATTACTTTAAAATCAGTGTGATAGAAAATTGGCGTCTCACCAAGTTGTTTCCTGTTGTGTAATATCACTTTTATTTTATTAGGGAGGTGGCTTCTAACAATGAAACCATGGCAACAATTCTTCTTCAAAACTTACTAATACAACTGGATGAGCAGTTAGGTCGTGTTTCCAAAGAGAAAAACCTGCTCTTGATACACAATCTGAAAAGAATTAGGAAAGTCCTTCAGGTAAGAATGTATTCTATTTTTTAAAATTATTTGGATTTATGAATGTAAAATACAGTGTTTTTTGTTTTAAAGTCATGGATGTAACCTTATTTTCAAACCAGATTTAAAAATCCGAATTCTCTGTTTTTAAATTTTTTCTTAAACTGTATTTGATTTTCTAATGTTTGTTTTTCATGAAAAAAATTTTGAATGTAAATTCAAATGTAAACTACAAGCAGAAAGTGTGTGTTTGAGGGTGTGTACGTGTTTTGTGCGACTGTTGCATATGACTTAAGTTTCTCAGATATGATCAAATCCAGCAACATCGAATGAGGGATTAAAAATATAATAACTCATTTCCTCACTAGTCCCCCAGCCCTGCCTTGCTTCTCTCTTATGCAATAATTTCAAGTTGATACTGTTCCCATCCCATAGGTGGTGGTAGTATAAGGGTATATGTATCTTTCCAGATTTTGTTCAAATCTTACCTTCTCTAAAATGTTTGACATTCTCTAGCCCCTATCATTTTACCCAGGCAAAATCTGTCGTTTGTGTGTCCATACATCTATACCATGGTATTTAGTACACCCTACATTATTGACATTTCTGTATGTTTGTCTTCTCCCCCAAACTATGGGATTTTTGAGGCAAGGACTCTGGTATTCATCTTTGAATGTATAGCAACCAGCACAAGGTGTGACACACAGTAGACATGTAATGTTTATCAAGTAAAGGAATATATAAATGAAGTGAGTCCATTAGTGATATGAAGAATTAAGTTGTTGTTGTTGTTGTTGTTAAGTGCCGTCGAGTCTTTTCCGACTCATAGCGACCCCATGCACAGCAGAACGAAACACTGCCCAATCCCGTGCCAGCCCCACAATCCCTGCTATACTTGAGCCCATCATCGCAGCCACCATGT